TGGCTACTCAACTAATGGTCTAATTTGTGATAGACCACTCGCGGGAAAATCAAAATAAATAAGTTATAAATTATTTTAAGGATAGTATTTCAATTTGYTTTCATTATTTGACCGAKTAGTATGTTTATACTAAAACAATTCGACCTCTCGGCCTCGTGGACTACGAGCTAATAGCCCATTYGGCCTCGCGGACTCGGCCTCATGGGCTATTAGCTCGTAGTCCACTCGACCTCGAGGTCTAATTGTTAAATGGTGACAAAAAGCCCGTGATCACTCAAGCGTAACCTGACAGTCTGTATGAAGTGTCAAATTCGACGAAAAGAGACCAGATTTCAAGACTTTTTGAAGAAATGCAATGATATTAAAGACAATCCTAAAAACCTACCATCGAATCTAATGAGATTTCTAATGAGAAATCCTTTGTTAAAGTTCCTCCAAGATGGCCGCTGTGAACTATAGTGACGCAATTATTTAACCTTGTGTTATGTGGGATCGCTGTATTCATTGTCTTAGTGTAACAATCAATGGGTGTCGGGCACAATCGACGCGCCTTTGGTCATAGGTTTTCATCCAGCAGTGCGCGAAATATGGCGGACGCATATCCAGCATCAGTCATAGTTTTTTGCTGATATTTACTGTCCACTATGGTATTAATCTAACCAGGTTTACTAGCTCAGGATGTAGGGTTGTTGGCAGATCTAAATTACACCGGAGATATGGAGAAAGTCTGACGATGACGACGTTCTTTATTACACTTTTAAAGGAGTAAGAAGADAACATGGTTATGATACATACAAACAGTCGCTATTTATCAAACTACTTTTTATTTGATAGTCTTTGATAGTTAGTATTTGTATATTTTTACTACATCGAAGTGCGAAGTTAACCAACCACAATATTGGCTGTTGGTGAACGTTGTACACAAAYACATTTTTTATCTTAGCCRYGGATTATTTACAACGATGCTCAATCACATTCTTATCACACAACTTGCACTGCAACTTACAACACCATGTAAATTTACATCCACATTTGGTTTTGGTTGATCGAGTGGTGGTAGTGAATCCCCTTGCACAACACATTATCGTACAGCCTTCGCTGCCATAAGTGTTCTTCTTGCACAGTCTCCCTCGAGTTCCTGCAGTTCCCAGGCTCGGATTAGCTCGGCAAAAGCCGGGAGAATCATCGGTGTACACGAGGGCTTTTCTTGAAGGGCGTCTCTTGTCGAAATTTCTTTCCAGGGTTCTGTTCGCACGTACACGCCAGGATCGATCGAATTTCTTTCGAAGGTTGACAGCGACTCTATCGAATGATGGTAGTTTACGCCAACAGATGCGGTGTTGAGCACCAAATCCAAAAATAAGTATCTTGCAGTCCCTCTGGATGGCATTTCTTAAGGCCTGAAATTCATTTATAACCTCCTCTTTAAACGTATAATTTTATTCTTTATCACTGAGCATAACATAGGCCGTCCAACTATTGCTTTAGAGACAGTAAAGAACGATTGCGCACGCTTTTATTATGTAGTATATGTTATCGCCGCGCGCTCTCAGCAAATGTGGACTACCTGTGTTATTACGTCASGATCCCGTGCCTCGCGGGTCTACACTAGTCTCTGACAAGGTATGAATTACCGGTCACAGACTAGTGTGTAGAACCACGAGGCAAGGGATCGCGACGTAGTACCACAGGTAATCCGCATGTTGATAAGAGCGTGCGCCGTTAACATAAAGATCCAGAGTCCTCTGATAAAGATCTAAAAGCGTGCGCAATCGTTCTTTTCTTTCTCTAAAGCAAAAGTTGGGCGGCCTTTGAGCATAATGCGTATTATGATTTTATCGAATGAAGGCTTGGCTGCTATTTGTAAGTTAGTGGTATGCGATTCCAGGCTTTCGCTGTCTACAACTAACAAGTAGCAGCCAAGGCTTTGATACAATCCTTCTGTCCACATATCAACCCAGAAAAAACATGAATGAAGCATTTTATTTTCGTCTTTACTGATTATTTACTGGTATTCAGATAAGCAATGGCTGCCCAGCAGCGTAACGGGTGTCTAAAAACTGAAGTGTCCAACTGAAGAAAAAACCTGATATTCAAGAGATAAATTAAAAAAAAGTGATTGAGTCCTACTCTTCTTTTATCATGTCGTAATTTCTATTTCTGCACTTTTGAACMCAAAAAATAAGAGGTGGAGGTGGTATGACTCGCCAAAGAAATCATCTTCCCTGGATCCGCCTTTGATGATTTGAATTTATCCTGWTTTTGCTGTCTGCCCACAATATTCTCACCTGTCGTCCTGCCTCATTATTATGTTGAATGAGCAGAGAGAGCTCGTCGTGTTTGGGTGGATCCATATAACGTCTTGATACCTCTTCGCCATACTTCAAGAACTCATTAAATGTACTACATCCTTTCCACTCCCAGAAATCATCGCCTCTTTGTTTCCTACCAGTTTTACAGCCACACATTTCCCAGTTSCCTCGAGTACATTGTTTAGTAACCTTGAATGCTACCGCGGCGGATGTAATGGCATACACGAAGGCACTTACACGTATTCCTACAAAGACATACAATTCACAATATTCCATACTCAGGTTCAGTGACCAGRAACAAAGCATTGAACCGAGGCTTAAGGTACAGTGAGCATAAAAGAATTAAGATCTGTGATCAGTGTTCCTTGACGCCTCGGTTCAATGTTCT